CTCCTCTTGTTTGAGTTGGTACCCCCTTCTTTGGTGTGGTTTTGAAGAAAAGCCCCAAAAGGATAGGTCGCCATTTTGGGGGGTACCCTAAAACAACATAGACCTGTCTGGAAAAACTCGACGCCGCCCGGAACACCTCTCCGACATTTTTTTTCATATCAAAAACTCCGCAACGAGGCCGGCAGCGCCCTTGTCGGGATGGCACTGCATGGCCACGACGCGGTATGCCTTCTTGATCTCCTCGGGAGCGATTGATTGGGACCGGTGAATCATACTGTGGGAGGTACTTAGACGGCTTTTTACCCCCCAAAAGCCATCCTCATGAAGTACTTGGACCCTCTGAAATAGCTTTCTGTGGATGGACAAAATCCATTTCGCACCACCGTTCAGAAACCCTGGAATGTTTCGATTCCACAACGCGAATACCGACAAACCGTAGTTTCCCATACCATAGTTTCAAACTGGTGCAGGATTTCGTCCATCCACAGTAGGGCCCACCCCTGCCCCAATGCTCCCTCTGTTCCCCCAAACCTGGCCTCAATAAGAAGGCCGAGCAAACTAGAGAGACCGGACAAATAGATGTATGACCTGATCTCGCACAGGCTGCAAATCCAGGAATTTGCATAAACACACACACGCACAAAAAACAACAAAAACAATCCGCAAACCCCAATCTGGAAAACTCCCAACCTGGGAAGGTTCAGGAAAAACTCAGGAAAACTCAGCCTTGAACTCGATCTCCACACTTGAGTTTGAAGCTGAGTTGGGAGCTGAGTTTTTTCTGAGGGGGTTGGTTGGGGAGGAAATCTGCAGTTTTCCCGAAAGAAAACACACAACAACCCAAACACAAATCAACACAAACTCAGAATAACTTAAAAACCACTCAAAACAACTCATAAATAACTCAGAAACAACTCAGCTCCCGACTCAGCCTCAAACTCAAGTTGGGGGATCGAGTTCAAGGCAGGTTGTTTTTCCTTCTGAGTTTTCTCCGTGTTTCTTCTTGAGTCGTCCCTTGTGCTTTTCTGTGTTTTCTTTGTGTTTCTTTTTTTTGGCTGAGTGGTTTTTGAGTTGCTTCTTTGTTCCGCTGAAACCTCTCCTGTCTAAGCTCGTCTGGTCATAAACATGGATCCGTGTTTCCTAGGGGCGTATCTCATTGTACAGGGGAGGCGCGTCAGGGAAACAGTGCCGCAAAGGTATCCTGCAGGTTGACTCATCCAGGGTCCACATCAACTACTCGAATGTTGACCTCGGAATAGTCCGGGAGACCACCCCTGATGAGTACGGTCTATCCTGGAAGGGGCGGGGCGCAATAGTTACGCCAAGCGTCTGCATCAGAGGCATCTGGCGACACGCCCAGGATGGAGTACGCCGAGTTTTCGTGGAGCCGGGCAATTTCGGCGACGATCTCGCTCTTGAAGCACATTTGTCCTGAGTCCATGCTGAAAAACGGTTGTTCCGCAGAAACCAATTGGATGAAGTGAACTGGAGCCACTTGAGATTGTGGAAACTTGTCCAGGTTGTTGCGGGTTTGGCGCGCGATTGTGGGTTTGGAGCTTTTGCAGCATGAGAAGCCCTGAAAGCTGCGTCAATGGGATTCTTCCTGAAAATAGGGATGACTTCCCCAGAAGTCAAATTGGATGAAGTGAAGTGGGGCGACTTCATATCCGTGGTCCGGGCGTTTCACCCAGAAACTCATGGCTGTCTCCTGCCGTTGCCAAGGGAGGAGTTATGATACCTTGGCATTTGTAGTTGAGTTTCTTTTGTCTTTCTGAGGGCTCTTCGGCCTCGTCATACAACTGCCGCCGCTATCTTAGTCTTGGGTTGTGGTTGGGTGTGCATGTTCATGTCAATCTGCAGGGCAATTGCCAAACCGAGCAGCGCAGGATGTACTCATCCAGCGCGCGGTTGAGTTCTTCCAAGCGCGACGCGGGCAGGGTGTCTGCCTTGTGCCAGCAAGGCTGCTCGAGGGTCTCGATTTCCCCAGCTAACTCAAACATGTGTCAAAGGTTGACCCCTTGGTTTCCCTCAACGAGGGCACCACCTTCAGCTTAAAGCGGGACTCCACCTAACTTACATATCCCCCTCCCTCAAACCAGCAAAGCCCTCCCCCCAAACAAAAATCCACAAGCTCCAACTACCCCGAAACATCCCCCCCACCAAAAAAAACACGAAAAAACAGCAAACCAACGACAAGCTCCACACTTTCCCCCCTCAGCTCATCCCCACCCCCCCCACCTACCCCACCCACCCCCAGTCCCCCCCGCCCCATGCGTCGCCCCGAACCGCCTCCATGGCCGCCTCCGAGGGTGACAGCTCCAGCTCCCGCGCCAGCGCCTGGTCGTCCAGCACGAAGCCCTGGCCGACGCCGACGGCCCGCGCGTGGCGGCCGGCGGGGCTTCGGCGCGTCGCTCCGCGTGGGGCCGGCGGGGAGTTGGGAGGTTTTTGACGCGTCCAAGAGACAAACCAAAGAAGCCAAAGAAACCAAACAAATCAGACAAAGCAACAACCAAGCCAAATAAAACCAAACAAACAACAAAGAAAGCAAGAACCAGACCAAAACAAACCGAAACACGCAAAGGTTTTACAAGATCGCAGTTGTTTACTCCTGCTGCTGTCGGTTTCCCCTTTTTTGACACATGAAACCATTGGTGTAAACCACCAAACTGTTTAAACAACATGTCAACCTTGTTGTCTTAAGCGTCTCCATGTTTGGTTCTGGTTCCAGGGCCTTCATTGATCATTCACATTTCCATCAACGGAAGGGCCTGAAAGCACCAGTGGCCATGGAACGCATGGCTTGCTTCTGGTTGGTCTGGAGCTTAGCGGTTTCCCAAGTTTTTCCTCTTTGATGAGCCAGGGTGCAAATCCCTAAGTCACTACTCCAAACCACCGAGGCAGGCCCAGGTACTTGACTTAACCCACGGACCTGCCGTGCCTCAGCTTTGTCTGGGCGTTCCGCACAGAAACCACGGATCAGCTCCATGGCAACCTCGCCAAGCGCCCAATAGGAGCTTTGGGACGCGCATTCCCCAAAAGTTGAGCAAGTGGACCAAGGAACTCACTCTTATTCACCCAAATAATTAAAAAACCTGCACGATCTTGCATCACTTGGGCAGAAAACAAGATCGCCAAAACTGGGCGGCGAGCAAGGGGGGATCCGCCTCACTTGTGGGGAGAACCCCTAGAAATCAATCTGGGTGATTAATCCTAGCTCAGCCTTCAAAAAATACGTGGTTGATTCTGGCCCACTAAAATGGGACATGATGTCAACAGAGATGGCAGTTAACTTCAATTGTCAACTCTGATCAGCAAAGAGGGGAACACATGCTTTCGTGATGCCATCGCAGCAGGCCCTGTTTGTTTCAAACCCCTCACTGCTTATTTGACCCCTTCTCACTCGTTGGTTCTCTCCAGCAAATTGGCATGCATCCTCAAAAGGGCTCCCTTTGTGGGAATTCCCTTTACATAGGTGTTTCCCATGATAATCCATCAGCATGCAGAATCAAAGAGCTCGTGGACAGAAGGCAAGAAAGGGCTTTGATTTCTTGACTTCCCCCCCCCCCCTCGCTTTCTCGGGTTGCGCATCCCGGGTCCAAGCCAAAAGCACGTCAGTGTCCAAGCCAGAACCTCAAAAACGAATCCGATTCCCTTGAAAACCATCAGGTCTTAAGATAAGAACCTCTTCCTTTCAGCAAACAAAAGCCCTGGGACCAAGCCAACAAAAACACGGAGGTTTTCCGGAGCCCAACCGTCGATGGAACTCTCCCCGCCGTTTTCAGCCCGCCGTTTTCGCCTGCAGCTTGAGGTAGTGCCTGGCCGACCCCCCGCGGCTTGGATGGCCCCGCAGGCACTGGCGCCGGTAGGCCAGGGACAGCTCCTGGCATAAAAACACGTAGGGGTGAAGGAAGAACAAGGGCCAACCACCAAAAACAGGAACAAGTTCAGTGGTTGGGATTTTAATCACATGCTTTTGGTGGTTGGCCAACCTTGTTACTATAACAAGGCTAGCCAACCACTAAAAACATGTGATATAAAACATGTGACATAAAACCCCAACCACTAAACCAACGAAACACCTAAAACCAGCAAACACATGTGACATAAGGCATGTGATAGACGGGCCAATCAGCTGGGCTAAACATAGAATATAACGTTATGCGCCCTTTTAAAGGTTGGTTACAAGGTTCGCCAACCACCAAGATACTGTGGATGGACAAAATCCTGCACCACCCAAGAAACTCTAGAATGATGATTCCCCAACGTACCATGGTTTCCCGTGGTTTCAAAGTGGTGCAAGATTTCGTCCATCCACAGTATGGTTGATCATGATACTGCGGATGGGTGCAAAATCGAGAAGCCCAACGGGTTATGTTTCGGTTCCCCAACGTACATACCAGCAAACGTTATGGTTTCAACCATGGTCTCAAAGCAGGATCTTGTCCATTCCCGGGAAACCCCAACCCCAACATGGTAGTGTCCTTTCACTTGGAACCATTCCAACAACCAAAGTTTGTCCGATTGGGTGTTTGAGTGGAGGTCTGGACAACCCAACAACATCCATGTTCACTTGCGACATCCGCTTGCGCTGCTTTTTGGGTACACAGGTTGGCCCACAAACCGGGTCGTTCGAAATAGAAGGGGAACCATACCCAAATCCTTAATCTGAACACAACTGGGCCACCACTACAAGGGAAGCCACACTGGGGCAACCGCGGGTCAGATCTGGCCGCGCACCTTTCATGTTGACCCAGGATCTTTGGGAATATCGGTGAGTGTCATGAAGCTCTGGCGTTTCCCTTTTTTGAATTCACAATACCTGCACACATGTTTGTTTTTGCGCAATTTGGACTTCTGCATCAAGACAAAAGTGCCTCGGTTCTGTGCCAAAAAAGCCTATAAGGGTAATGAATTGCCCTTTTCCATCCTTGACTAGTCACAGCCATTTTCATGGCTGACAATTTCCGGGATACAATTTGGCAAAGGGTACTTAGCATAAACGACCTTTTAGCAAAAATAAACGGCGAGGAGCAAACTGGATGGACCATGTCCCGTCAAGGCGCAGGAGGTTCTTTAAACCCGGCGGTCAAAATTGGGGATCCTAAATCCGAATCTGTATCCTAGATTGGCGGGACACCACTGCAAGAGACGCCACAACCATCTTGGAGAAGGATTAAAGATCGATTTTGAGCACCCCAGGCCAACCATTCCTTGATATTCCTTCCTTCCAAGTTGGGCGAAGCAATGACCCCCGCACAGGCACAGGACCCCGCGACATATTTGCTGGGATGAGATGGACAGGTTCTGAAACCCGCGTCACACGTCCGAAAAAAAACAAACCCCAAAGAACAATGCACACATCAAGCCCGACTCAGGTGCCCCTCCAGCAAAAAATATGTCTTTTGGATTTCCGCTGGGAAGCCCGATTTGCTTTGAGCAGATCGAACGTGTCCAAGGATCGACCGTTTCGACTAGCCAGCATGTCAAAACACTGCTTCCCTGTCCTTACCGACCTGGTAGCTCCTTAGCTCCCGGTTTTATAAGGCAAAATTGGATACCCTCAGCTCCCAGTCCGGCTCCCCTAGCAAGACTGGCATTTTGCCGGCACGCGCTGCTTGGCTCCTCCACCAGGAGTCCAGACCAGTCTCCCTCCTCATTCTCGAAACCCAACAGCTCGAAGGCGTCCTGACGCGCGAGACGGCAAGCGGCACGCGTTCGCGTGCCGTACAGCTGGAATCTTAATAAGCCCCTGCTTACTATGGGGGAGTCCCTGGGTTTAGTGGGGAATCGTCACTATTGGAGGGGAACGAACACCCCCATATTTATGAACTGGTTGGTTGATGAATATGGGGTCAACATTAGATCCCAGGGGAGCCCTTGGCTCTTGGCTGCATCTTGAGCCCAAGTTTGGAACCTGAAGCACAGGTGAGCCAAGCTCAGGCTTTGTGCCTGGGTTGCCCAAAAACCCACCTGGTAGCTCCTTAGCTCCCGGTTTAAACGCAAACTATGCCCTCAAATTCTTGGCCCCCTTGCAAGCAACAGCTAGTAGCCAAACTGTTGGTTTCCACTAAAACGCTCCAAACCCAACGATCCAAGCAGCCAGAAAAAACTAGCGGAGTGGCCGGACGCCCAACATTTGCTAGCAATTATTTTGCTCTTTGTATTATCTTGCTGCGGTCAGGGCAAATAACAATTGTCAGTTCAGCGTGCCACTACGTCAGAAGCTCGATTTCATCTTCCCTCCTGCCCTGCCGTCCTTGAGCGCTTCGTTGGGTGACTTCGAGAAAATCTCCAGATGGAGCCAGTCTTCCTCATTGTAGCCACCTGACAAACACGCCGTGCCATCGAATGCTTTGGAAAACCAAGCTAAATACTTGCGTGCTGTAGATCCCCCAGCAGAAAGTTTAACTTTTTGCTGGTTAAAAGGACATATGAGGGGAATCCAACAAGTTTAAGTCTCAAGATCCAGCCCAATAGCAGTAGACAATACACCGGAAATGAGGGAATCCCCATTTAAGGCGCCTTCATGACAGAGCTCGGCGTGTGTAGTTGTTATTTCAAGCATGAGGCCCGTGGCAGGGATGGAACTGAAACAACCACAGGAGACCTCCTGTCGACTGCCACTGCATCTACCACACGCAGAATACTTTCGCATGTTGGAAATGCTTGTGTGAAACATTGGATGACCTTGCAATCATCACAGCCAACACATCCAGTATAACCCACATAATCATTCATGCAAGTGTCTGCAACATGCTCACGCACAAGACCCAGCGTCAAATAAAGAGTGACACATTTCACTTCAACATGCTAGCTGGAAGGTGGCTCAATCCCGCGCCAGAAAGTCCCCATCTTTCGAACATCTTGATGTCAGCCACTTACAACTTCCTGCGTGCTGCTTGGACGCCTTCCTCTTCGAGGATGTTTCAACCTGGAAAAAACCCTAGCTGTTTGATCCTTGCTACTCTACAGTGAACCAGTTGTGACGGATGAACCCCCCAAACACAACTGGGATGCACCAAGCGGGGCACCGACGATGGCGCCAAGCGGTCCGCCCAAGACCTGGCTGCAATTGGGGGGGGGGGGAAGGGGTGGTAGCCTTGTGTTCCTTGTAAAGCATGGTCGTTGAAATTGAGGGACCCCCCAAAACAGTCATGTTATTAATGTTCCTTTTGCTTTCCCTCAACAACCACACAACAGGCACCCTCAAAAAACACTGCTCAAGTACATCTTCAGATGCACCTATATAGTCGATTCCACCTATTATTTGTTTTCAAATTGACCCAATTCTAAATCAATACTAAATCTGACAGCCATTATACGGGGGTACTTTCAGCACTGCTTCCCTTGTAAACCATATTGGAGCCAAACAGGAAGCTCGTGGAAAGCTTAGGAAACTCTTGGGCAAACAACCGGTGCCTGCTTTGGGCAATCCCTGCGAAACCCGTGCGAAACCCACGGGAACCTCCCAATCCGGACGCGATGTCAGGCAATGAGCCTTCGTGGCAAGACCCTTTCGTAGGAAGCCCGGAGTCGAATTTCCAGAGCCGACTAGGGGACAACAGAGATCAAGTAAGCCTCCTTACCATGCGGACTGGACATTTGTGCCTGGTGCCTAATGCCGCTCTGGCAAAAACATCCCAGACCTTCAGAGGCCAAGGAAAAACAGCGGGGCCCCTGCTTTTTGTGGAGCAGTAAAATCGGATAACTCAACCCACTGGCATTGGCACCTCCTCTCACCGGATTGCTCCATCCATATTTGCAAAAGCCATACTTCAAAGAGAGCAAAACACGCTATAAATTTCGCAAGTAAAACACACACACACAAACACAACCACACACAAACACATACAAACACACACACACACAAACACACACAAACACACACACAAACACACAAACACACACAAGCACACACAAACACACACACACACACACAAACACACACAACAAACACAAACACAAACAAACACACAAACACAAACAAACACACAAACACACACAAACACACACACACACAAACAAACACACAAACACACAAACAAACACACAAACACACCAACACACAAACAACACACACACACAAACACACAACCACACAACCACACAAACACACAAACACACAAACACACAAACACAAAAACACACCCACACACACCCACACACACACACAGACACCAAAACACACAAACACACACAAACACACACAAACACACACGCACAACCACAACCACCCACACAAACACATACAAACACACACACACAAACACAAACACACACACACACAAGCACACCCACACACACCCACACACACACACAAACAGACACAAACACACACACAAACAAACACACACACACACAAACACACACACACACACAAACACACGCAGCCACACACACACACAAACACAAACACAAACACACACACACACACAAACACACACACAAACACACAAACACACAAACACACAAACACACACAAACACACACAAACACACACACACAAAACAGACACACACAAACACACACACACACACACAAACACAAACACACAAACACACAAACACAAGAACAAAAACATAAACACAAAAACACAAACAAAACACGCACAAACACAAACACACAAACACACAAACACACAAACACACAAACACACAAACACAAAAACACAAAAACACACAAAAACAAAAACACAAAAACACAAACACAAAAACACAAACAAACACAAACATAAACACAAAAACACAAAAACACAAAGACAAACACACACACACACAAACACACACACACACACAAACACACAAACACACGCACACACACAAACACACACACACAAGCACACACACAACACACACACACACAAACACGCACACACAAACACACACACACAAACACACACATACACAAACACACACACACAAACACACAAACAAAAGAAACACACCCACAAACACGCCCACAAACACGCACAAACACTCCACAAACAAGCACAAACACGCACACACACCCGCACAAACGCGCACAACACGCACACAAACAGCGCACAAACACGCGCACAAACACGCGCACAAAACACTTGCACAAACACGCGCGCAAACACGCGCAAACATGCACAAACACGCACAACCACGCACAACCACGCACAACCACGCACAACCACGCACAAACACGCACAACCACGCACAACCACGCACAACCACGCACAAACACGCACAAACACGCACAAACACGCACAAACACGCTTAAACACGCAGAAACACGCACAAACACGCACAAACACACACACAAACACACAGAAACACACAAACACAAACACAACCACACACACACACACAAACACACACAAACACACACACACACAAACACACACACACACAAACACACAAACACACACAAACACACACAAACACACACACACACAAACACACACACACACACAAACACACACAAACACAGACAAACACGCACACAAACACACACACACACAAACACACAAACAAAAACACAAAAACACAAACACACAACCACAAAGCCACAAAATCACAAAACAACACACACACACAAACACAAACAAACACAAACACAAACACAAACACACACACACACACACACACAAACACTCACAAAACACACACAAACACAAACAGAAGCAGAAACACAAAAACACAAACACAAAAACACAAACAAACACAAACAGAAACAGAAACACAAAAACACAAACACAAAAACACACAAACACAAAAACACAAACACAAAAAACAACACAAACACACAAACAAACACAAAACACCAAAACACAAACACAACAACACAACACCACAAAACCACAAACACAAACACAAACACACACGCACACACACACACACCAACAGTTTGCTAAGCTACCAGTAAAAAATATTCCAAGTGAAAACGCACGCACACCCGTAAAACCCATGGCTAAGTTAGCCACTGAAGAAATGTTTCGATCAACATCTCCGGGTGCTTTTCCCTGTCCTTGTTTTGATTTACTTGGCTCCTCCGTGAAAGGCGAAAAACATTTTTCCCAACAGCTGAAAGCTTTGTGTCTCAGCCCAGATAGGCTCCGGGGTGGTCCGGGGCGGGGGGTGAGGTAAGGTTCCACGAGGGTTCCACCAGGGTTCCACGAGGTTCTGCGAGGGCTGCGGTGGTGCGAGCACTAAAACGAGCACCGCACATAGGTGGCCTTTTGGAAAAATAGATGGCCCTGGTCAATGGAATAAACCCCATCTAAACCAGGGCCCTCTATTTTTTAAGCAAACCAACCAAAAAGGACACCTATGGCACCGCATGCTGTCGATATCACCTGAGCTTTCGCCTCCAACTCGCAGCCGCTGGAGAGCTTGAAGTTCGAGAGCACCGTGAGCGCCTTGTCCATGACCACCTCGACTCGCCGACTCGCCGGTCGCGAGGCCGAGAGCTGGGAATGCTGGGAATGAGACATGGCTCAGGAGAAGTCGAGCAACAAAAACCATGCAACTGGTTGGTTTCCTTTGAGGGAATCCCCGAGAACAAGATTCGATTCGATTTGGATTCCTGTAAGGGAAAGGGTTCATGCATGTTCGTTCCCTCATTCCGCCAGCAAGAAGATCTGATGTCCCTATAAACCATCCAAGTGGTGGTTTCCTTTAAGTGTCTCTGGGGTCATTCCATTCTATATTTCCTATCTATCACACACGCAAACCACTGCTTGAAACGACCTCTGTTTGTCGGCTTCCCGCCCTGGTTTCTGGCCCCGTTGAGATCTGGATGGGTAAGATGGAGCGGCAAACATGGGGGACAAATGCCTTTTGTTTGCTATGGCTGTGGCTCAAAAATGGGGTAACCCCAAAAAGGGGCAAGCCCTGGTAAATGGCAAATGGACAACACCTGCGGTCCATGTCCTGGTGGTTTCATTTTGACCCATGCCCAAATGTACCTGGTAAGAGCAGCCTCTGCGCCGCTGAGCGGTCAATGCAGGCGAGACTGTTTGCGAGATGGGAATGCAAGGGTTGGGGTCCTGTTGAAACAGGATACCCCCCGTGTTCCGGGCACCAGCACAGCAGCCTGAGTCGGTACTGTGCAATGGGGTGAAACAAACGCTTCAAACTGCAAAAACGAGAAATATAGGGATGTGGTTGGTTTCCCTGTACCATTCAAACCAGGGCCCCACATTTTGCAAACAATGGGGTCGGCTTCATTTGGGGGCCAGTTTCCTCTTGGTTTCGCTGTGAAACAGTTTGTTAGAGGGTCCTTTGCGACAAACAAGTTGCGCGGGTAAGTCGAGACATAGGTCTTATGTGTGACCCAGGTGTAACTGTGCTGACCCTTCAGGATGGTTCTGATCTTGGTAGCTGGCGAGACTTCTCTGCAAGAAGTGCTCCACTTTTTGTGGGGCCAATGGAAAACCATCAAAGGGGAACCTTCGGAAAGGAGAAGAGAGAACACCGCCTATCAAAAACCTTACCGTAACTACCAACAACACTTCGGTTGGTTCATGCGTTTTTTTTTTTTAATGCAAGAAAGGCGATTCGACCTTTTGCATGGCGCCTTGGGCCGTTTTTAGCGGCCAAAAGAAAGGTCATCACCCATTTCCAGCCCCAAAAAGGTGATCACCTATCTCCAGAGTCGGGGCAAGTGAGTTGCATGGGCTGGTTTGCTTTTTGAAAAAAACCCTGGTACCTTTTTTGCTTCAACCCCCACTCAGAATACCTCGATATACCTCGATCTTGGATGAACCTTTCTCCGGGTTTCCTGTATGTCCCTTGTTTGTCCCCCCACTACTCAATCGTAACTTTTGAAAGGGATATCCAATGACCCCTGTCTTCACCCCAGTCCTTTTTTTTTTTTAAATTGACTTGGTTGCTTTCTGCTCCCCTGCTAAAAGTTTAACTTTTAGTGGTTTAATCGAAAACCCACTAGTTGGCAACAAGTTGTTAAAGTCCCAACATCCAAGCAACATGCAACAGAGTTAAGATCCCCGGTGCTTGTTCAAAGCCAGGCGGCGTGCGAACACTGCAGCCCCGAGATAGTGCCCATGAGCCACTTCCGCACCTAGCCGCGGACAGCGGCGAACACTGAAAGCTCAAGGTGCGGTGTCAAAAACGACGGCCTGGAGTCTCCATGACCGGGTCCATGACCCCATTATTTAGGGTAGTGACCCCATTTTTAAAGGGTCATGGAGACTCTGGGGGGTCTCATGAGGGGCTGAGAATAAAAAGTGGGACCTTGATTCATAAACTGGGACTTTGATTCCAGAAGCAACTCCGACTTGCTGGTTCCTAGGAAATCAGCAGTTTCTGAAGTGAACTTGGGAATTCCCTTCAAACTTTGCAATCCCAATCGGTCAAACTGTGGTCAGACTCGCCAAAGACCTATTAGGCTGGTTCGCGCAGCTCGTTTTACGCGCCGCACTCTGAAAAATGCTTGGCGCCCTCATTATGCACAGGTCTGAAGGTGCATACTGCGGACGGACGAAATCCTGCACTTGGGATCAAGGAAACCCTATGAAAACTGTGAGCAAACACCTAACTGCAGGGGCACTGGATGTCCCCAAGTGAACAAAGTTGATGAGTTTTCAGTTGGTGTCCATTGACACCATCGCCTTTTGGAGGTACGGCTTCAGGTGGTTGGCCTCGCCCTAGAAAAAACAAAACCTAGCTTTTGGTTTGACCCGAGCCATGTGACGGGTGGGACGCTTTTGGGTTGAACCGAGCCAGAAGCGAATTGTTCCAAAAAGGGGGGGTGGGACAAGTGCTCACGTTTCTTCAAGGGTACGGATCCCAATGCGAAGCGGAAGGATTTTGCCATCCCGAAAGGGTATGGGTCAATTTTTGAGCCACCAGAGGGACCAAAGGTTTTGGAAATTGTTTCCAGTTACCAGGGCTTTCCCCCTTTTGGGGACCTATTTTTGATCAGCCAAATCCTCCCCTGACTCCCCTGACTCCCCAGAGCCCATCGCATGCCTCCAGGGTGATCTCCGGGCCCAGCTCGGACCTCTCCAAATGGCCTCCGCCGAAACGCCCAACGGACGACTGCCCAGACTACTCAAGATATGTATCAAGTGTACCCCGGCTTGGTGGGAAAGCGCAGATGCATACATTAAATTAGTTTCTATATAGGTTAGTGGGCAAGCAAGCAGACAAGCAAACAGGCAAGTAAAAATGCAAGCAAGCAAAGAAGCACGGACGCGAGGAAGAAAGGGAAGCAAGCAAACAAGCTGGGAGGCAAGCAAGCAAGCAAGCAAACAAGCAAGGAAGCAAGGACGCAAGCAAGCAAGAAAAGAGGCAAGGAAGCAAGGAGGCAAGGACGCATAAAGAATTACCCATCCCCTCTTTCGCCCATGCTGGCCCATATGATCATGGGTCAAAATAAAGCCACCAGAGGACCTCAGGTAGTCTTTGGTTCCATTTACCAAGGCTCCATTTTGGGTCCGCATTTGTGTCCCACAGCCATATGACCCCCCCGAGCCCGGCCTCCCGTGCTCTGCGGGGGCTGCCAGGCGTCGCAGATCTTCTCCCCCAGCGCGCGCGGGTCGCCGCTTTGGGCGCTGGCGCACTGCAACGCACCTGGCGCGACGCGGCGCGAGGAGCGCGGCGCGGCGCGTGGTCGACGCGGGCGCCAACGGCAGAGGGTGTGTGTCGATGTTGACACACACTCTGCACGTTTCTTTTGTTGCCAAGCCCGGTTGGTTGGGTGGGTCCTTCCAAAGTTTCAAGCCATTTAGCTTCCCACCAATTGGGGGTTTGGATCGGTTTGGGGATTTGAAGTGCCGGTTCTTGTAGAGGGCCAATCCATGACTTTTAGCAGACCTCAAGGGCCACACGACTGGGACCAAGTCTTGTGGAAAACGCTTTGGATGCGCTTCTTAAGGATTTGACAGGTTCCTCCGTTCCGTTTCTAGTACTCTTTTACGAATGCTTTAATATCCTGCCAGGGTGGATCCACAAAAGCCACATCCAAACCGCCTTCTAGACGTAAGCATGCACTGCACCGTGTCATGGACGTTCAACCAACTTAGTAAGAACTTTATAACCATGGTTAATAAGTTGGACATCCAAGTAGGGAACTGGTCATGACCTGCCAAATAGTGGGGGCGGTCTCTGCCTCTTTGTCACCCTGTTTGGGAGTTGTTGGAAGCGGCTTGGGCTTTTCGACCTTTGAAGTTGGGTGGGGCTGTAGCCCGAGTCAAGGGCATCAGAGCGCTTCTTGCTCTTCAGTTTCTCGGCCGTCGGCCGCCGCGAGACATCGACAAATCTTGATCCCCCACGAGTCCGAGTCTCGACCAAGAATGCTGGAACCTGAAATTGAATTCAGACACACACACACACACCCTTCACATGACACCCGTGTTGGTAAGTGCGTGATGTTTTGTTGGGGCCATTCAGGGCCAAACCCCATCCATCAGAGAAGCAGCACCAATGAAGCCATGGTGAGAGGAAAACATCAAGCCATCGTGCTAATTATGGACAACAATATGAAACTCAGGGTCCCGGGTGATTTAGAAGCACAATCCGCACAAGTTCAACATAACTTTACGTTTGGAGCCGCCCTCTCATCATGGAGTATTTCCACACACCATGCGCAGCTTTGAGCGCATGATGTGCAGTCATAGTCCCCCCATTTAATTACTCGACTATAGAACCTTCATGCCTTCATGCTGGCTGGACTTTGCCATCCTTTGCATTGCTTGGGTGCCTTGAATGTGGTATGCTTTAAACAAACGTGTCACAGGCACTTTCCCGCAGAGTCAGGTTGACCGCGCCTAGTGTCAACGCCTTCTGGCGCATCACGCGTCGCCGAGAGGGCTCGCCTTGGACGGCGCACGCGCAGTTTTCTTGGGTGGAAAGCGACTTTCTGCAAACCCGCGAGAAACACAGCGCTGTTGGATCGACCTACTCTGGGCTGCAATGTGAGTCAGACAGATCTAACCACTTCAGACTTGAGGCCTCAAGCTAAGCAATGAGCCAAGTTACCTTCTTTTTCAGATGCAGCTGGATTTCCCATCTGCAGCTATGGACATCGGACAGGCCGACATTTTTGCGCGTGTCTCTGGCAAACACGTCGAGTGGCTGCTGCGTGCTTGATTCAAAGACATAGACCTTCAGAGCTTTTGGTTCTTCGCTCTTGGCCCAGGTTGAGTCGTGGCCCAGAGAGGCTGAAGAACACGCTCTTTCTCCGCCGGTCGCAGGACCCAACAGGGGACCCCAAAAAGCCAAACAACAACATAAAACAGGGGAACTCATTCTAAGGAAGCATTGAGGTGGCTATGGACTTCTTCCGAATGGCTGTGGGTCAAAAATAGGTACCCCAAATGGAACCCTGGTAAGTGGAATCATGGTTACCTGGGCCGGCCTTTTGACTTACCCCAAAATAGGTACCTATTGGTTCCTGTGATTCGGGCACGAGCCTGTGCCCAGGCAATGGGTAAGTTGGGGTAAACAAGCCACAAAAGAAAGTTCCCCAAAAGCAAACCAATCCCCGGTCCCAAAGATCAGGGTTTCCCACACACCAGAGAACAACAACCAAAAGGAAACAAACCAAACAAGAAAAGGGTTAACCCGCAACCTTGGTCGACAACAGGCCGCACGACTGGTCCCTACCAACCTGGCGGCGGCCCGAGGTCTCTTTCTCCCCCGAGATGCCGTCGGTCGACGCAGGGGTTCGGCGACGCCCATTCGAGGCGCGACGGAACCCAAGACTTGAGCCAAAACACCACAGGTCGGTCACTAACGCGACGTCCCTGATGATGATATGAACCATGGCTAATCACACCCCCCTCACGAGGAGCCCGTCATATGACGGGTGGAGCGTGCCATTTACTGATAGGATTTAACTGCTCGCATGCGTCCGCAAACAGCTGGACACTACCGCCGTCAGCGGTGGAGCAAACCCACAAAGGCAGTTGCGCGACATCCCGGGCATTAAATTCCCGCCACCACCCCGAATTAATCGGGGTAACGCTGTCCAACATACCTTGTGGAAAAGTCCACATGACGACACTAGGTCACAACTGTTTGCATCAACAATGCAAGAAGTTTAATTCTTATCAGAAGCCATGAAATAAAAGATAACGTATGTCCATTAGTACCCTCGCCTAACGGCAAGAGGTACTCCTGACCATGCGTACCTGAAAAATGCTTGAATTCCGCAAACCCGGGAGTAACCCCCCATCAGTTTGCTTTCCCTCTCACTCACACTGCTTCCCGATGAACACGTCCAGCAGCCCAGCAGCGGTATGGGAGAGACATGACCTCCGCGCCTCAGCGGTCCGGGAGGGACATCACCACCTCCGCACCGCGCCGACCATTTGAGAATGGACGCAAGCCTATCGGCCGCAATCCTCGTGACTCAGCCTACCGGCTATCGTCACGTCTCCTCCGGTCACGTCCGCCCCGCGCACGGTCCCTATCACGATCCCTTTCGGATCTCCTGCGATCATCTCGCCTTCGATCTCGCTCCCGATCGAGTGAATCATCATCACGACGATCACGAGCATCGTCCCTCCTCCGGTCTCGATCATCCTCGCGCCGCGGACGGTATCTGCGCCTTCTCGACTCTCTGGAATCCCTGGTGTCCACGGTCCTAACGGACCTCCGAGAAGGAGTACGGGAAACATCCGACTCCCTACGCCTCCTCCCAGAGCGAGAGTTCGTCACGATCTGGTTGAGAGCCTCCAGTGCTGACGCGTCCTCACCATTTCTGATGAAATCCCTGACTTGCTTGTTCAGCACTCTGTTGGTGGAGATCGACAAGAAAGCGTCCACCACCGAACCCTCAGGCAGCACCAGGAAGTGACCCTCCACTGGGCTCGCCGCAGCCCGCTCAGCAGACTGCAACCGGATCTCCCCGCCTTCAGGCTTCTTTGCCATCGCCTTGGAGGCCGTCAAAGGTGCTACCGCATCCTTTGCCGAAGATCTGCCAAGCGCGGAGTGAAGATCATCACCACTAGCCTCTCTTGCTGCCGCACCTGGTCTGCTGTCAACGTCATCAGGCCTCGTCGATGCCTCTCGCTTCGTTGACTCCTTCACAGTCTCGTCAGGATCCCAACGGGACTTCCTTTCTCTCTTCTGCCCTTCAGCCGATCCCCGACTACCGCCAGGAGCGTCGTCTCCGCCTACCTTCTCCTTCTTGACCTCAATTCTCGGTTCGGCCTGCTTCGCCTCCTTAGCCTCAGCCTTGGGAGCCGGAGCACTCTTCGCCTCAGACACTGAAGCGACCTTTCCTTTTGGCTCGGCCTTTGGAACCGGGGTCATTTTAGCCTTCGCACTCGGCCGGGCCCCTTCGACCGCTATCGCGACCCAAGTCTTCTTCGGCTGAGCCGCTGCTGCATCAACCTCCATCGGAGCTGGTCCAGCATCATCCTTTGCTTTTGCCTTTGGGACAGATGGGCTACCGCCCTTCCCAGATCCTTTACCTGGCACTTCACCCGACTTCGGTGGTGGGCCGGAAGGACTACCGCCCTTACCGCCCTTTTCTCCCTTCTTTCCTTTTCCTTTTCCGCCCTTGGTGACCGGCTCCTGCTTGGGACCAGGACCCGGCGCAGCATGATGCACCGATTGAAGTCCTTCAATATCCACCGGTTGACGACCATCAAGGACCGTCCTTACCCTTTCGTCACTAACGTAGACGAATGGGTCACGGAAGGGAGCGGGAGGCTCCGACTGCCCGGCACTGATTGTCTTCTGCACCTTGGCTATCGCCTCCTTCAATCTCTTCTTTTCATCGTACCCGGTCGCCGACACCATGTACCCCCTGAGCTGCGATATCAACGCATGGCTGGCCAGGATGTCCACGTCCTTCCGATGGGTCGGATACAACGGAGTCAGATGACCCGCCGCGGAGCCAATCACATACGCCATCGGGATGTAGAAGGATAAGTACGTATCATGACGAGCGAACTTCCTAACGGAAGTCGTCATACGCCTACCCCACTGAGCAGCATGCCTCGGGTTAGCACGGAAGTACTCCGTGACCGAATCAAATCTATCGACTTGATTGGTCATAATCAGGTGCTTCGCTACCCACTTCTCCACGAACGCATCCGAGGCCGAAATCCCCGACACATAGGAGAATTGGAAGAGCACCTTCGCCAGCTCATCCCACGCCGTATCAACTCCTCCCTTGTCTTCACCAAGATAAGGGGGCAGTCTGATGCCGCTCTGCACCGTCATCCTCAGGTCAGACGCCATCGAATAGGAAATCAGGTTCCTCTTGATGACTCCGACCACTTCGGCGGGGATCCTCTTGGGCTTGAACTGCCCCATGGTCCTCACCCACTCCGGGACGATGCGGCACCCCTCGAAGTCATTCTCCTCCGCGTTGGGGATAAAGTTCGGGTAGAAGACCGGGAGCGCACATCCAGGACACAAATGCATCCCATTTGGTGTCATCTCGGCGCACCTCAAACAGAACGTGGTGGTCACATTCAACCTGACCTCCTCACGCGATCGCCTGTGCTCTCCCCTAACGGGGGTGAAGTCACCGTAGTCCCATGCCCGATGGTACACTACCGTGTAATCATCGTACATGTACGCTGCCTTCCAAGCTCCCATGTGGATCTCGTTCCGAACCGCAAGGGTCTTCCTCCTCGTCAAAAACACGGGGCCAACCAAGGACCAGTGAACCCGAAGGTCCACCATCACCACCACGTACCTACCCGAGTAGTTCCGCAGCCTGTCCCTGACGTACCACGAAGGCGATACCTCGGCATTCGGCGCCATGGCTCCCACAAGTGGGATCAGGCCCTCATCCTGCCTTCCATCTCCAATGGTCTCGTACACATCGGGCCTCGTGATAAAATATCTCGATCATGGCCTTTCCGTTTCGCCTCACCCTTTGGAGCTGAACCGCCTTCCTAAAGTCCGAGAACTTCATGACGACGTACCCCACCATGGGGAGTTCATTCCAATGCATCTCGTACATCAGAGATCCACCAGGTGCATCCTCTTGAGTGTACCTTTGCCTAACGGCACTGTAGCTCATGTCGCGTCCGATCCGCGTGTGCCTAACGGCCACTAACCTAGTGCTCTCCTTGAGGAGGACACCATTCCCGTCGTACATGACCATGAGCATCGCCTCAACTTGCCCTATCGGGAAAGCTTTAGCGTCGGGATGAAGAACTTCCACGACATCTCGGCGTTCTCCATGCCCGAGATCTCCTTCAGGAACCAGATGGCCTGGTCACTTTTCACCCAGTTTCCAGCCTCACGCCCAGTCTCCTTCAGCACACGTTCCTCGAATAACTCCGAGACTCTCTTCGAGTTGATGACCAGACCCTCGAAATCGCACGAGAGCAGTCTCATCAACTCCTTAGCCGCCTCCCGCCCTGCAACGGTGCCCGCGGTCTCCTCGTAGTTCGGGAGGTATTCGCCCAACCTTGTTTTCGAGGGAACCACAATCTGGCATGTAGCGGCCTCATCAGGGATAACCCCAGTTTCCCTCAACTCTGGATTGATTTCCCGCCTATCGGCAAGATAATCCTTCCTCCCATCCAGGACCACAAGATTGTAGGTCATCTTGCTCGCCGCCTCACTAGGTCTGAACCTCCTGCTATCATCCAACTGATCAGGAGCAAAGGGTCCACTGGGGGCAGCTGCACTTACCATAGGCGCTCCTCGCCCAGAGCATAGGTGCTTCTTGTGGAAGTTCACCATCTGGTTCAGCTGCGACAGGGCATAGGCACGATCCTCCAATGACGCACTCTTCATCCCAGCCTCAGTCAGAGGAGCCTCAGGCTTGTCATAACTCGCCTTTCCGCCCCATCTCGCCGCGACTAGCTCGGCAGACTTCACAGGGTCGATCAGATTGCCCGACCATTCAGGCATGTTGCTCAACCTCCTAGTCAACGCGTCTACCGACGCAGCCAAGTCCTCATCCGTCACGGTGTAAGGGTCGACCTTCTCCCTGTCTTCTTGACCCACGTCCGGAAGCCTATAGTCCCCGCGGATGGCCTCCATCGCGGCCCTCTCGGCTTCCTCAGCCTCCCTCTGCGTGGCCACTGCTCT